ATGATTTCTCATGGTGTCGCTGCTTTTCAGGTGAAGTTCTGAGAATAGCTACAAAAGCACTGTCTGCGATTAGGGTGACTGTGAATATTGACACTTTTAAAGAAAGTTAAAAAGCTAGGTGGCCTTGTTTTATGTCACATAAAGGCCAGTAGTTATTACATTAAAATTCATCTCCATCTCTTTGTTTATGCTACTGATATGATTTTTTTCTGTTATTCTGAAATCTTTTGAGCAAGTACAGGACAAAGAAGTACACATGTTCTTTCACTTGAGTTTTTCTTTCAGAGTTTGTTCTGATGACAGGATTTGTGTAATTGAAACTTTTAGTGCATGAGCCATTATTTTTTTCTTGTATTCCACTTTGAAAACATCTAATTCATCTCTGCTCGTCTGAGTCTAGTGGACTAGAAGTGCATAGATCAATAGAATTACAACAAAGACTAGCTTTTGACACATCTATTCCATTGCTTAAGCATCTTGTCTAGCTGGATGGACAGGTGAGATGAATCGCATTAGGATTAAAGCTCCCAATTTTTAGGTATTTGTTTCAGACAGAAATAAAATCTTTTTAGGTTAATTAATTGTTAGGAAGTGCTGCATTAAAATGTCTTCATAAGTAGTTAATGTGCTTAAAGATAATGTGCCTTGGTCTTGTGGGCTGAAGAATAAACAAGTTTGCATTTTTCCGGGTTTCTGTCCCAAGGTTCTAGATGTTCACAGAATTTCTGATATGAACTCCCAGGCACTGGAAGAAGCTATTTTAAAGTGTAATTACACTGGACTACAGTCACAGACACTGGTTCATTCATCTTTAGGAACAGGAGGAATAGTGAACACTTCACCTGTTTGGCTGGTAGGTTTTCCCCTGGGTTGAATAATTGAGATTGTTTTCAGGCCAGAGAGTTGGCTCCACTTATTGGCATTCTTGGAAGTTTGTTTCCAGATCATATTAGGTAGGTAATATTAGTAGTGTGAATTTGAATACAATATTGGGAGGATGGAGTTGAGTTTAATTTAATTGTTGCATATGAACTGAGAACTAATAGGAAAGCTGATTTCACATAAGGATTATACTAGGCTTGCTTTCTTGTGGCAAGATTTAAGACAAATAGACAGAGATCTAGAGAGGGCTCAGGTGGCACCTTCAGGGTGACTGGGAACCCTGCCCCTGCTGTGTGGCGCTGCCCTCTTTAACCATCCACTCCAGGTCCCTCCCGGAAGGAGGAAACCCCTCCCCAAGAGGAGCCGGAAGGGGTGTGTATCAGCTGGCTTTAAGCAGATTTCTGGGAAGCTACCCTTGAATTTTTGTTTGTATGCTATTGGCCTGAGCCTGGGCCATGTCCACACCTAACTCCAAGGCAGTCTGATGACTGTGGCCTTTTTTCCTGGACTACCATGTATCCAGTTAAAAATTGCTCATTTTCCTAAGGGTCAAAGTCAGAATAGGAATTGGATAGCAGCCTGCCGTTCCATAGTCAATGCAGAACGTTAGAGACCCTCTAACCGACTGCCACTTACCTGGTAACCCGTAGCGGGCCCTGGCTCTTTGAGGATGTTAAAAAACACTACAGCCCCTTTGTCTAGAAAAATGAACCTGTGCTTACTTGTGTGGAATTCTGTAGCACTGTTGTCTCTGAAACCTATCCATGTACCATGGCCTAGGATTTACATTTTTGGGGTTTTTTTGTTCTTAAAGCTTTTTATTTTAAAAATAGATTCATATTAATTGTACAAATTAATGGGTTTAACTATGACATTGGCAAACGTGTATATATCAGACTTTAATCATTTCTACCGTCCCTACTACTTTTTCACATTTTACTTTTAAAAATGTACGTATTAGTGCCCATGAATTTTTCAGAAAACTGGGTTTCGGCGTGGTACCTCGTACATGTACATCACATACTCCGATGGGACCCATCCCTCCTTCCTCCCTCCCTTACCTCCTCACCCCTCCAGACTCACCATCCCCTTCCTGTTGGCCAATAATAGTTGCCTTTCCACTTCCACGCCGAGCTGCGTGCACATTTCTCCAGACCCACTTCTAAGATTTCCCTTTCCTGAGTTTCACTGTAAGACAGGTGTTTGCAAGTTTTCGTCATCTCTTCTCACAGTCAACCAACGTTTGCTGGCAGCCCTGTCTGTTAGTGGCTATGAGAGCTTCGGAGGTTCAGAGGGGCCAGGATAATCTGTTAAGCACTGGCTGCAGCTGACACGGCTCGGGGACCCTTAAGGACACTACTAATGTCTGCATTTTACAGTGAGGAAACAGGCTGCCTAAGATTTTGTAGCTAGTGAATGGTAGAGCTCATGTTTGAACCTGGGGCCTCTTTAAAGTTTGGTGAATTAAATACTGCCAGGACCAGGAGGCACACTGAGCAGAGGGTATTTAGTTGTTCAGTTTCAAATTCTTGCCTCGGTTTGTGTAATAGGGAGCTCTTTGTGCCCTGTTTTTTTGTTAATACTTTGCAGAGCCGCTTAACATGTTTAAGTACGTGATGCTGCTGCCCTTTTGATTGAGGTCTTTACACTTACACTGAAGTCAGCATGTGACAGATGTCAACTGACGCAATTTGAAAATGTCTCAGCAGCACTCAGAGCCCATAGATCACTAAAAACTCGACGCAGACCGCCTTTCTGTCCCCGTCAGAGCGGAGCTCACCGATGCGGTGTCCCCGCTCTTCTCACAGCTGCCGGCACAGACTCTGCAGTGCCAGCCCTGTTCGCTTCAGGCTCAGGTTTTTGCCCCACCGCGAGATAGATGTTCTCATAGTTTTTTCCTTCAGCCACGTTTACTTGTCAGTGATACCTCTGCCTCTTGTTTCTCAGGAACATTATTTTCGTGCTGATTCTAGACAGAGCCTAGAATGTGACTCCCCATGTTCGCATAGTAAGCCCAGCACTGGCCAGGGGTCGGCCTGAGCTGCTTTCCCATCTGCTTTGTAAACATCATGGAGCGCCTCTGGCTGTTCTCCGTGTAAGCGCTGATTTCCATTCAGTCCCAGGGCGCGTTTTTGATGAAACCGTCACAGAAGAGAGACTGCAGCGAGCCGGAGACCTGCTGCCATTCTCTGCCCAATCCCCGCTCCTCACAACAGCAAACAGCTCGAAGAGTTTTTCAAGGTTTGTCTTTCTGGACTGTTTGTATCTTATTAAACACTTTATTTTCTAGTTTGTAGTAAATGCAAGTAGAAAATTTCATTATTCAAATTTGTAGAGGTTTCAGTCCATGATCAGCTGGATCCAAGGCAGGGTGGCATAACAGGCAGGCATCGCAGAGGAGAAACAGTTCATGGTGGGCAGAAGGTAGCAAAGCAAGCAACAAGCTACACGTGACAGGCCTGTACCATTTCTTTTGAGTTCACCATCTGGTTGCCAAAGCTTGTAAAAAAAGGTTATATGATATGATGAGGTCTCCATCTTGGAAGAGGATGCAATACTTAGTGTAGTAATTCAATTCTGACAGTCATGCTAAAGAGCAGAAATTCAAAGTCTATGTGGTCTTTGTGTAGGTGATGGTGGGGACTGTTGATTACCTGATGCATTTGTGCTTTAGTGGTAATTGTGATTTATAAGCTCCCCAGTTGAAGTACGTAACTTCATTGAAATGAATTAAAGGTTCAGAACATATGGTGTCCACAATTCCTGGGCTTCCTGCTTGGCCAGGTAGGAGAAGAGACTGTAGGCCCGCCCTGTCCCCCAGTGCCTACCTGCACAGGTGTGGCACGGTTGCCTGGGTCTCTGCCGCCACAGTGAAAAACGTGACGGGGCGCAGTGAAGGGGGGTTCTCCCTGAGCACCAGGGGCTCCTTTGAACCTCTGGACTTGTGCTGAATCCCTCATTTGGATCTCACATGGGCACTCATTATGCCTGGTCACCAGATACTCTGCTTTTGTTTTTTGAGCACGTAGTAGATTTGTAAGTCTTAGTCCCTTTACGGTGTGGATCTTAGGTCTCCCCAAAGGCACATGCTGTAAAGGCTGGTCCCCAGCACGGCACTGTGCTCGTGGGAACTTAAAGGGTGGGCTGTGTAGGGGTCTGTGGCCCCTGGGGGACTGCCCTGGAAGGGGACAGTGGAGCCCCAGCCTCACTTCTCCCTCTCTTTCAAGTCCGGCCATGAAGGGAACACCCTGCTGCCCTGGACGCCTGCCTAGTTGTGCTGTCACCATCCCAGGGCAACAGGACCAAGCCGCCATGGACTGGAACCTCCAAAACCCTGAGTCAAAGTGAAGCTTTCTTTTCAGAAGGTTTTCAAGGATGTTACGGTGATGAAAAACCGACTATCGCAGGAATTTGTTATAGTAATGAAAAGCCGACGAACACAGCCCACTCCTACTCTTTGTGGTTTGGGTCATGTGACCAGTTCAAGATCAAGATTTTAATTGTTTGAGACTTTCCAGAGCTCTTTTTTTTTGGACAGAGTCTCACTAGGTAGTTTGAAGCTGGCCTTGAACTCACTGTGTAGCCCAGGCTGACCTTGAACTCTTGGCGATCCTCCTGCCTCAGCCTCCCAAGTGCTGAGATTAGAGGCATATACCACCATGCCTGGCTCCAGAGCTCACCTCTGTCCTCTGTCTCCATTCCAGATGGTGGGTGCTTTGTTATACTGGCTTCCAAGACCACTCGGGTCAGGCAATGAATTGCAGCACCAAAGAGAAACAAATCTTTATCACTTTAAGTCCCTGAAGCCTGGGGGAAGGGAGTAATTGCTATCACAGAGTAACGCTGATGTCATTCTCTTGCAGAGGCTGCTGAGGACCCAGTTGTCCGACAGGTCTCCTACCCTGACCCACCATTGTGCCTGTTTATTGCACTTCTCTCCTGCCCCCATTCCATGTCAATTTGCGGGATTATACACAAAGATTATACACAATTCCTTATTCTCTGTGTTTTTAAAAGGCTCAATCAATAGTTTGAATTTCGCAGATCAAGTTTGAAACCACATCAAGTTTTAACGACGAAGGCTGTTCTAGAAAATCCAGCCTCACCTAATCCAGAATGACATTTACTCACGTGGCTGCTGAGCTACTTACAAAGGCGAAAGAAATTTAATCATGAAACACTGCCGAGCAGTTATTAAATAGTATCTAGTCCCTAATGGCAAATTCATTTTCATTTAATAACAAGTGATTGTGAAGTGTAATGAACAATAGAGTGGCGCGCAGAATTCTCGCTGACATCGTGCCAGTTCCTTGGGTGTAGCGTTACGATGCCATCCATCTTCATAACGCGCTCTGTGGAAGGCACTGCTGAACAGCGGGAAGGAACGGCAGATGACAGCACCATCAGTCAGGAGCAGGCCAGCCTGCCGACTTCTCTGGGGAATTGTTAACACATTCCTAAACACCCCTTGGTGGATGGCATCTTAAAAAGAAGAGGAGATCAGTTGTAAGACCTTGGACATTGTCCAAATCTGCCTACAAGTGCTCTTAGGTCCTAGAATGCTCTCTGGAATGCTTGTGGCCAACAGGACCTTCCAAGCCAGTATGGTCCAAGATTTCAAAACTCTCGTCCAGATGGGCATGGTAGTGCAGGCCTGTCATCCCAGAACTCAGAAGCCTGAGGCAGGAGGATCCCAAGCCAGAGGCCAGCCTGGGCTACATAACGATACTCTGTTTTAAAAAAACAAAAACATCCCCCCCAATAAAAAGTAAAACAAACTCAACAAAAACTCAAAAAACAAAACAAACAAAAAGCCTAACTCTTGCCCATTGCTGATACCCGACAAAAAAAAAAACATGTGCAAGGCACTCGCCTGGCAGGCAAGTTTGGGTTGTGGCATTCAATCTTTCTCTAGCTAGAAAACAGAGCTCCAGGAGATTTTTTGGGAGCCCAGTAAGTGCATAATAAACATAGCACAATCTCACAGGTTCCTGTGAATTCCTGCCATCAGGTAGCCCAAGTTAGCTAAAAATTTACCTAAGTTGGGTTGGGGATTTAGCTCAGTGGCACAGTGCCTGCCTGGCAAGCGCAAGGTCGTGAGTTCGATTCCCAGTATGGGAAAAAACAACAAATAAACAAACAAACAAAATTTACCTAACCCCCAGAGCTAGGTCGCTTTGCCTGGGAGGTTTGAAAAGCTTCGGAGTGTTTCTGTGACTTTCTCTAGTGATGCTGCCTTCTGGTTTTTGGTGAGTCATCTGGGTGGGGTTTGAGGAAGGTTGGCAGGGGAATGGTGTATTCTGAAGGTCAACCGAGTTTGCGCTGCAGGACAAAACAGCGGGAACAGTGTCTTTGAATCTCTCTGCATGCTTCATGGTGTAGCGAAAAGGTCTAAGTTGAACTGAGACACACTCAAGTATTTGACTTGCTGTGGGACCTTGAGGAGGTTAATTAATCCCTCTGAGCCTTAGTTTTTTCATCTGCAAAATAAGGATGATGGTGTCCATCTCAGAATTTTGTGAGGATCAATTAGTTAGGCAAAGCACTTGGCCGAGCACATCAACAAATATTTATTTCATTATATGTACTCAAAAAAACTGCATCTGTAGTGAACATGCACTGATTTTTCCTTGTTATTCTTTAAGCAACACAGCACAGCAGTTATTTACATGCTACTTACCTGGCGCTCGTGAAGTAATCCAATGGTTACTTCAAGTGTGTGGATGTTCACAGGCTATGTGCAAATACCACCCTGCTTTACATAAGGAACTTGAGCAGCTGAGCATTCTGGTTCCGGAGGGAGGGCCCTGGAACAAGTCTTCCTTGGTCACAGAGCATAGGTGTACTCTATGTTCTGCTTCAAAAACAAAAGCGAATGAATCTGATTTACAGAAAAGAATTCATAATGAGTTATGCATTTTATCCTGCCCATGACTTCAAACTCAGACCCACCCACACGCAGGTCTGGGAGCGTCAGGAAGCTTCCTGGACCCACCCTCCTGCTCTTCCAGCCACCCTGGCCTCGTCCTCTCCACAGCCCACTCAAAACTGTTTGAATCCTTCATCAGTGGCGTTTGAGATGATGAGGAGGAGTGACAGCTGAAGAGGGTGACAGAGCCTGAGACAGGTAAGCAGAACATCACATCCATAGAAACAGAAGCTGGGCGCGGTGGTGCGCCTGTGATCCCAGCACCCTGGCAGGCGCAGGCAGGGGGTCACAAAGTTTGAGCTCAACCTCGGCAAACTAGTGACTTGGTGAGACTCTGTCTCAAGCTAAAATAAACAAATAAATAACTGGTCCGGATGTACTTTAGTGCAAAGGCCCTGGGTTCAGTTCCAGGAGAGAGAGACTACAGCACGGTTGTAGTGTCAGGTGGGTTTTATTTTTAAATATTCCACACCATGAAATCTGCAGTTTTCCTCTCTGCCGCCTCTGGCTGTTGTGGAATAGATGCTGCTTTCTGCCGTACGCAGCATCAAAGAATCTTGATTTTAGTGATTCCTGACAGCAGCTGAATTTGCAGCAATTATAATTGTGAATTTCTTTCGTGTCTTTTCTTTGAAGTCAAGTTAAGAATATCCTTTTTCTCCTTTTTGGTCAATATGTGGAAGCTATTTCAATTACTTATTTTCTGTTAAAAATGTCAAATTTTAAATTCCAACTGGAATTCAGTACCAGTTCTGATCACTTTGTTAGATATTTAGTAAGTACTTAACACATGCCTGGTACGATGCCAAGCCTCACAACACAGAAAGGAATGAGGGTCTTCCCGCCTCGGGGGAGCCTGAGCCTGGCGGGGCATGTCAGACGTGGGGCGTCCCGGGGAGCCCGCCGGAAGCCCCCTCCTTGGCTCCGCTCCGGGTGTGTCTAAGTCAGTGGGAAATTCGGCTGCACCCATCAGTCACGTTTCTGGTTGGGAAGAACCGAGTACGCGAGCTTCCTCCACTCTTCCCTACACTGCCCCCGCACAGACCTGGCTCTAGAGAACCTTTCCGGGATTTCAGAGCTGCAGAGACCCCGCCCGTACCCTCAGTCTGTGTTCTGAGCCTTGGAGTCCAGGCAGAATCCATCTCAAGAGAGGCTCAAGTGGGCCAGGCCAGGACACAGACCGGCTTACAGCACAGCCGACAGAGAACTGGGCATTTCTGTCAAAACGTCGGCATGCCCAGAATTAACATCAAGTCACTGGGAAACCCGTTAATTTTAGAATTTTTAATTCTAAAAAATTTGAAAGAAATTAACTAGAAAGAATGGAGTTTCAGGGCCCTATCTTGTCTTTCAATCTGCTTAAGGATGGAAGGGACTCCACCCCTACCCACCCCCAGACCCTTGGCCTTTGCAATGAGCTACATCCAGGGCTTTTTTTTTTGGCAGGGTCTCACTAAGCATCCCCGGCTTTTTTTTTTTGGCAGGGTCTCACTAAGTATCCCCGGACTCAAACTTGCAATCCTCTTGCCTCAGCCTCCCAGAGTGCTGATATTGTAAGCATGCACCACCACACCCAACTAGGATTTACCTTTCTAAATCAGAGTTTCACGTCTCTGGAGATGTCCAGTACGTTTATTTCATAAGTGATCTGCTTACACAGGCACATTTTGTGCCTTAATTCACAGAGTACCCTTTTCTAAAATTCCGTAAGTTCCAGTTGTCCTTCCTCCATGACTTCAAATTTCTAGAAACTCTTTTTTTTTTTTTTGAGACAGTGTCTTACTATACAGTGCAGGCTGGTCTTGAACTTGCTTACATAGGCCAGGCTGGCCTCAAACTCACAGTAATCCTCCTGCTTCAGCCTCCCGAGTGCTGGGATTATGGGCATGCACCACCATACCCGGCTAGAAACTCAGATAATATTCCCACCCCCACTCAATCCGCTTCCACCTACAAAATAAAACAAAACAATGATTTAAATGATTGGCTCTTCTTTTTGGTTTGTTTTTTGAGACAAGGTCTCAATATGTAGCCAAGGCTGGGCTTAAACTTTAACAATCCTCCTGCCTCAGCCTCCTGAGTGCTGAGGTTATAGCCATATGCCACCAGGCCCAGCGATTAGCTCTTCATCTCCAAGTAACTTGGGTGAGCTCACCATATTGGCTTTTACTTGACACAATTTTAATAGGGCTGATCTGAAAAACAAGAGCAAGACTGCAGTAGGAGTGCGTGTGCGTGCCTGTGTGTGCGTGCTTGTGTGTGCCTATGGGTGGGGGCGTGTGTGCTGGGGAAGCTGGACCCGCTCTTTTTCAGAATAGTGTGCAGTTTGCAGATGGGCCAGTTGGCAACACCTTTACACTGTATTCAAATGCGTCATTTCAATCAGACTTGACTATGGTCTGTGTGCACTCCGCCTGCTTCAGGGCGTAAATATTGTTCCCTATGCAGAAAGCACGTTCTCTGAGCGGTGGTAGCGGTCAGGTCCCGGTCGGGCGGGCAGGCGTCGGGAGGTGGCTGGGACGAGGCAGGGTTTCCGGGAACAGGCTCTGACTGCAGCGGAGTGCAGTGTGATTGGGCAGGAGAAGGAGGCGGCCAGGGAAGCGACCTCGAGGGCTGAGAATCCGGGGACCGGCAATAATTCAGCGAGGGGCTGTGGGGCGTCACAGAAGGACAGCAAACACTAACCACCGGGCTTTTCTCTGCAAAGATTACTGTCAGGGAAATGCACGCTAGATTCCTCCTGTGAGCCACACCCTGAGGTGAATTTCCCCTGGCTCTTGCTAACCTTTCCTTTACCTTCTCCTTCCGTCTGCCTGCCTTCAGGACCCAGTTCAGCTCCACGCCAGGCCCATCCAGAGCAGTAGGGCTGCTTGATGACGAAGAATGACGGCCATGCCTGGCATGGTAGTGTACACCCATAATCCTGGCTACGTTGGAGGCTGAGGCAGGAGGATGGAAGTTTGCCTATTCTACTTAGCAAGACCCTGTCTCAAAATACAAATTTAAAAAGGACTAGGGGTAGAACTCAGTGGTAGAGCCTAGCACGTGTGAGGTCGTGGGTTCAGTTCCCACACCACGAAAGAAAAGTGATGACCAGCGTCACCCATGCAAGACTGAGCGGGGACCCAATGGCTGAGTTCTCGAGTGGATACAGAATTTGGGTAAAAGACAAATACTGCAGATTTGCTAGACATAAACTTGCGGGAAGGAGAAAATGTAGGGCCCTAAGTTGCTCTGTTTCCCTAGCTTCCGAGCACGTGCACCGCACACGTAGGCCTGCGCACACCGCATGACTTCCCTGGGTGGACGCAGTGCCAATGGCTGTGGCCAGTGTTGTCTGACCCCAGCCTAACCGCAGAGTTCCTTAAGAGTCCCCAAGAGTCCTCACACGCAAGTGCCTCGGGGAGCGTTTCTCTGGTACCACAGAGCAAAACTGAGGATTAGACAGCACGTTCAGGACACAGGCGAAGAACACGGCCAAGATCACTTCAGAGGCCCCTAAGCGGGAGGCGGCTGCTGCCTTCCGCGGGAAGCGTTTCCTCCTCTTCCCCCCAGCCCCTAGGATGTAACGGTGCCAAAGACAGAGCGTGCGCTTGGCACAGATCTCCCCGCGCCCCCCCACCTCCCTCCAGGCACCCTCCGGCCGTGCTTCCTGGTCTACCCAGAACACTCTCAGGTCGCTTCTCCCGTGCCCGGGGTGTAACCCAGTGTTTTGGAGCCCAGGGCAGAAGGAGGCAGATGGTGTGCACGCGTGCCAAGTGCCCGCGGCGCAGGCTGACCTGGCGTGGGCGTGACTATCTGACTGTGACGGAGAGAGGCGTCTGGGAGGAGGTGCATTCTCGTTCTTCCGTGACGTGCAAGTGTACTGCCACTGGCCCTGGCTGGGCAGCCCTGAGCCAGGGATGGGAGATGTTCGCGCTGGCAGGAGAACACATTCTGTATCCACGCTGATGCACACCCGCTTTTTGGCAGGCTGCCGAAAGTCCGCGGCCTGGGCTCTTCCAACTCCTCTATCTCCTGGATCCCACCAACGCCTCAAGACTCTTCCGTGAAGCTTTTCTCGACAGCCGGAGTCTGCGCTGACGTCTCTGTGATCTCAGCCCTCGCTGCGGTGATCACCTTCACCAGTCAGAGCAGACTTGGTGAAGGACGGAAGCTTGGTGTTCGGCTCTGGTAAAAGCGAGCGGCACGAGTTTGAAGCTTTGGCCGAAATGCAGAAGTACGACTCTACCGCCGTGGGCTGAGGTCGTGCCTTCCTCCCACGGTGATTTCTTCTGTCACTTTCCCTGGAGGAGCCGCGTGGGGCCTTGAGCGCTGCGGGGAAGGCAGCAAAGGAGAAGCTGATCTGGAGATTTATTCAGGTTCAGTGGGATCTTCTTCTGCGGCCCACAGTCACTTCCACGTAGAGTTAAGAAGCTGCTCTAGGGTAAGGAAGAAGCATCCCAGGACTTCAATGTGTCCTGCAAGGCCCCGCACTGGAAACGCGCAGGTAACGGAGACGCCGAATTGGAAAGTGCAGACGGGAAGCTCTCTGGGGGACACTCCTTCACTCACTCTTCGTATCAAATTATGAGTGGAATGTTTGGTACTTATATTTGTGTGTCCAGTCCGGACACACACTATCTTTAGGAAAATACTCCATAACGTATGTACAGTTATAATGCAGCACGCTACTACACTCTTAAAATGGGAATCAAAGCAAGACAGATCTGATTGGAATCGTATTTGTAGAGCACAGAGGCGCAGCAGTACTGTAATCGGGGAAGGGTGGCATTTATGCACGCCACACTGCACTGTGACATACTGGATCGATCTTAGCGTGCCTCCGTACACCTCATCCTGAGGAAGCCTGGCAGTACCACAAAAGGGCCGTTAAAGCACTGAAATCACAACAAAGCAAACTAAGCGTCCCTGTGACTAAGTGCCCGTGCACATTCATCACAAGCTGCGACACACAGCCAAAGGGTAATTCGATCAGACGATTACGTAGTTCAAGCCGAGAAAATATAATAACAGTTTC